TAATCCATCACATAAACAGAACCAATGACAAAAACCACATGATTATCTCAATAGATGCAGAAAAGGCCTTTGATAAAATTCAACACCCCTTCATGATAAAAACTCTCAATAAGCTAGGTATTGATGGAACATATTTCAAAATAATAAGAGCAATTTATGACAATCCCATAGCCAATATCATACTGAATGGGCAAAAGTTGGAAGCATTCCCTTTGAAAATCGGCACAAGACAAGGGTGCCCTCTCTCACCACTCCTATTCAACATAGTATCGGAAGTTCTGGCCAGAACAATCAGGCAAGATAAGGAAATAAAGGGTATTCAAATAGGAAGAGAGGACATCAAATCGAATCTCTTTGCAGATGACGTGACTGTATATTCAGAAAACCCTATCGTCTCAGCCCAAAAACTCTTTAAGCTGATAAACAACTTCAGCAAAGTCGCAAGATACAAAATCAATGTGCAAAAATCACAAGCATTCTTATACACCAATAATAGACAAGCAGAGAGCCAAACCATGAGTGAACTCCCATTTGCAATTGCTACAAAGAAAATAAAATACCTAGGAATATAACTTACAAGGGAGGTGAAGGAATTCTTCAAGGAGAACTACAAACCACTGCCTGAGGAAATAAGAGAGGACACAAACAAATGGAAAACATTCCACGCTCATGGATAGGAAGAATCAATATCTTGAAAATCGCCATACTGTCCAGAGTAATTTATAGATTCAATGCTCTTCCCATCAAGCTACCACTGACTTTTTTCACAGAACTACAAAAAAACTACTTTAAATTTCATATGGAACCAAAACAGAGCCCGTATAGCCAAGACAATCCTAAGCAAAAGGAACAAAGCTGGAGGCATCACACTACCTGACTTCAAACGGTACTACAGGGCTACAGTAACCAAAACAGCATGGTACTGATACCTAAACAGATACGTAGAGCAATGGAACAAAATAGAGGCCTCAGAAATAACGCCACACCTCTACGACCATCTGATCTTCAACAAACCTGACCAAAAAAAAAAAAAAAAAGCAATGGGGAAAGGATTCCCTATTTAATAAATGGTGCTGGAAAAACTGGCTAACCATATGCGGAAAACAGAAGCTCGACCCCTTCCTTACACCTTATACAAAAATTAACTCAAGATGGACGTTAAAGACTTGAACGTAAAACCCAAAAGTACAAAAACACTAGAAGAAAACCTAGGCAATACCATTCAGGACATAGGCATGGGCAAAGACTTCATGACTAAAACAGCAAAAGCAATTGTAACAAAAGCCCAAATCGACAAATGGGATCTAATTAAACTAAAGAGCTTCTGCTCAGTCAGTCTCATTATTAACTGAAATTTCAAGTCCCTGACCAGTAGTAATTTTGTTCTGCTAAAAACATGCACATTGGCCATTTCTACAACTTTCATAATATGATTTCAAATTTTCTTTTCAATTTTCAAGAGCTTTTGATATATCACAGATATTAACCTTGATCTGCCTTTATTAAAATATTTAATGCATCAGATTTAATTGACTCTGTAGTAACTTTTGCTATGGAAACATTTTTAGTTTTTATATACTCAAACATGACTTTCTTTGCTTTTATAGCTTCAGGGTTTCTTGAGTTGATTAAGAAGTTTTCCCTTGTCTTTAGTGTTTACATGTCAGCAAACAAAACAAACCAAAAAACCCAAATAGTATAAAATGGAACACAAAGCAGGGGACCTAAGGTTGCCTGGAATAGGTGAAGGCTGGCCTGCAGAGAGGTGGGCACTGAGTCTGCTTTCAGGGACCTCTGCCTTAAGTGGGAGCAATCCCCAGTGGGCCTACTATCCGGGCCTCCATGTGCTCCTTTCATAGTGAGCATAATCCTTTCTCTAACTAACCTTCCATACACAGGATAATTTCCAGTATAACTATTTGCTTTTCATTGCATCTTACCTTGTGTTTGGCATGTGTGCATGTGTGTTAGAAGTTATTTTCCTCTGCTATCACAGGAACTCAAAATGACAGCGATTTAAAAAAGAAGGGAGTCTATTTCCACTCATGTATGATGAAATCAGAAGTCGGTAGTCCATGGCTGTTGCAGTGGTTCCACGAAGTCTTCAGAGATGGATACACCTCTGTCTCATTATTTCATTTTTAGTGGTTGTTTCCTGGGAGGCAGTTGGTGATCTTGAGGTGCCTGATACAGTTCTGATCTGCAAGGCTGTGCTTCAGCTAGGAAGAAGGAGAAAGGGTGGGTAAAAGGCCCTGACCGCTGT